TCATGATCCCAAAATGTATCGCCGCGATTTCCGCGGCGAATACATTCTACTCACGGTCTACGTCGACGACCTCCTCTACACGGGGTCAAGCAACAAATTGCTTGAGCAGTTCGAGAAGAACCTCGCAGGGCGCGTCGACATCACCTGCAACCACGACGTAAAGCAGTTCCTCGGGCTCAACATCTCCTACTCGCCAGAAGCCATTAACCTTTTAGCAGCCAAGTATGCAGAGGAACTTGGCAAGCACTTCAACATTGTACCTGCAACATTCTCCACCCCTTACCGCACTCCAGGACCCAACCACAAGCTTGACAACAAAGCCCTACCCTCTGCTGGGCTTCATACCTACCAACAGCAGTTGGGATGCCTACTCTTTGCTTCTGTTACCTGCAGGCCCGATCTCTCCTACATCGCAAGCCAGTTGGCTCAGTACTCTCGCAAACCAACGGCTGAGAATCTGCTAGATCTCCAGCGGGCAGTTCAATTCTTCATCTCCACGCCCAATGTTGGGCTCTGCTACTCCACCATCCCAACCTCGTCCTTCAACCTCATCGGCTACGTGGACGCTGATCATGCCGCTGACCTCGACAATCGACAGTCCAGGACAGGCTTCCTCTTCCGCCTCGAGCCTAGCGGCCCCATCTCATGGAATTCACAGAAACAGGAGCTGTTTGCCCTGTCATCGGCGGAAGCTGAATTCATTGCAGCAACAGCAGCCGTTCGCGAAGGCCTCAACCTTCAGGAGCTGCTGCAAGAGGCAAAAATTCCGGCTTTGCCGAATTTCCGCCTACACTGTGACAACCAAAGCGCGATCAGGATCGCGAACAAGCCTGGATTCGTCAACCCCACCAAACATATCGCGCTGCGGTACTTCTTCGTCAAATACGAAGTTGACAAGGGCAAGGTTGACCTCACCTACTGTCCAACGGGTGACATGGCAGCTGACTTTCTCACGAAGAAACTGTCACGTCAGCAGTACCAGCATTGCTCTGAACTCAGCGGAGTAGTCAAGCGGGTCAAGACTCGCTATGGCCAGGAGTGAAGGGGGGTGTTACGAAATAGTAATTATTGAAGCATTGTCAAAGTACAATCTTACTTGTAGACTATAGTGGGGCACTCCTTATGGGGTACAGCACTTCTAGGATTAGTACTTGTACCCCAACTCTTGCTAATTCAATCATTCCTGCACAGTTCTCTCGACATGGTTTCAGAGCAGGTCCATCTGTAGGACCACTCGTTTAGGGCCCACCGTTAGTTCCGTTCTGCCCATTTTACTGCCCGAATCGCGCCCCTAGGCAGGCCGTTTTTTCCCGCCTGAATCGCGCCCCTAGGCTGGCCGTTATTCCTGCCCGAATCCGCCCCTAGGCAGGCCGTTTTTCCTGCCCGAGTTGCGCCCCTATGCAGGCCGTTTTTCCTATCCGAATCGCGCCCCTAGGCAGGCTGTTTTTCCTGCCCGAATCGTGCCCCTAGGCTGGCCGTTTTTCCTGCCCGAATCGCGCCCCTAGGAAGGCCGTTTTTCCTACCCGAATCGCGCCCCTAGGCAGGCAGTTTTTCCTCCCCGAATCGCGCCCCTAGGCTGGCCGTTTTTCCTGCCCGAATCACGCCTCTAGGCAGGCCATTTTTCCTGCCCGAATCACGCCCCTAGGCAGGCCGTTTTTCCTCCCCAAATCGCGCCCCTAGGCTGGCCGTTTTTCCTGCCCGAATCGCGCCCCTAGGCAGTCCGTCTTTCCTCCCCGAATCGCGCCCCTAGGCTGGCCGTTTTTCCTGCCCGAATCGCACCCTGCTGGCCGCTGTGCCGCCCCTGCAGCCCGCTTGCCGCCCCTGCGGCCCGCTTGCCGCCCCTGCGGCCCGCTCGGAGCCCATTTGCGGCCCGCTTGCCGCCCCTGCAGCCCGCGCGCCGCCCTCTGGCAGCCCGCGCGCCGCCCTGCTTGCGCCGCCCTGCTGCTACTGCTGCTCGTGCTACTGCTGCTGCTGGTGCCGGAGGTGCTGGACCTACTACTGACCGTCACTGCCTGTCATGGCCACTATCACGGTAGTTGCAGCGGCTCGGGGTGGACAGAGGCAGTCACTGCCTCTCCCGGACGATCCCACCCCTCAGCAGCTTCGCGAGTGGGTTCTTCAGCAAGCCCGTCCAGGTGGTGGAGGCTTTGGTTTTCTACGTACTGCACAGAGGCAGCAGCAGAGTCAGCAGGAGACCTTCTCCCCTTAGGTGCTTAGTGAGCTGTTTCCTCAGCGATGTGTCACTGGTTCTGTCGAGTCTGCCGCACTAGGTGCTAGTGAGTCTGCTGCAACACTAGGTGCTCGTGAGTCTGCTGCAGCTTTAGGTGCTCGTGCGTCTCCCGCCACAGGTCCTTCCTCAGCTGAGGCCTTGCACACTTTCACACTTGACTCAGGCGCGTCACGTTGCTTCTTTCGTGACTGCACCTCACTCACACCACTTGCTGCACCGGTACCGGTCTCACTGGCTGACCCCACTGGGGGCCCAGTAGTTGCACGAGCCTCCACTGTCCTCCCGTGTCCAGCAGTCCCCTCCGGTTCTTTGTCAGGTCTCCACCTCCCCACGTTCTCGACGAACTTGGTGAGCAACGCTGCCATTCAGGATGTCTGGGTTGCTACCTTTATTCCTGGAGGGCAGCGTGTGGCGATCTGTACGTGCTCCCGGACTGGCCGTCACCTGGCTACGTTCACTCGACGGCCTGGGTCTAGTCTGTACACACTGACCGCTGCGTCTGCACAGGTGGCTGAGGCAGGTCAGGTGGCTGCGTCGAGTCAGGTGTTTGCGTCCGGTCAGCTTGCAGCATCATGCTCGTGTCGGGTACTCTCCCACCAGACTCTCCTCTAGCACCACCGCCTTGGTCACCCCTCCCTACCGCGTCTCCGCGGTATGCACTCCCGTCTCCTTGTCTCTGGCCTTCCCAGGTCCCTACCCTCCCTCCCGCGCTCGCCTGCCCCGCCGTGCCTTCCCTACGTCGAGGGGCGGCAGCGCGCCGCTCCTCACTCCTCCGAGTTTCCTCCGACCACTGCTCCTCTGCAGACTCTCCACATGGATGTCTGGGGCCCAGCCCCCGTCGGTGGAACGGACCAGGAGCGCTACTTCCTGCTGGTTGTTGACGACTACACACGTTACACCGCTGTCTTCCCCTTGCGGCACAAGGCAGACGTCAGCGGTGTTTTGATCCCCTGGATCCGTGCTACTCGTCGCCAGCTGCGCGAGCGGTTCAGTCAGGACTTCTCAGTCATGCGTCTGCACTCTGACAGGGGCGGTGAGTTTTCTTTTGAACTCCTTGCGGAGTTATATCGAGACGAGGGCATCCTCCAGACGTTCACACTTCCGGCCTCTCCTGAGAAAAATGGGATTGCTGAGCGTCGCATTGGCTTGATCATGGAAGTTGCTCGTACCTCCATGATCCATGTGGCTGCTCCCCATTTTCTGTGGCCGTTTGCGGTCCGATACGCTGCGCATCAGCTCAGCCTCTGGCCCCGTGTCTATGAGCCAGAGACCTTGCCCGCACTCCGGTGGACAGGGAAGGTTGGCGATACGTCGGTGTTTCGGGTCTGGGGCGCGCTCTCCCTTGTTCGTGATGCCAAAGCGAACAAGCTGTCCTCTCGCACTCTCCGCTGCGTCTTCCTTGGCTTCCCCACCGACGCCCCGCCGTGGCAATTTTACCACCCGCGCTCGCGTCGAGTCTTCTCCTCCCAGGACGTCACCTTTGACGAGTCTGTCTGTTACTACAGGCTCCGCCCGCACGCGTCCCACCCGGTCCCCCTAGCGCCTCTTTTCTTGGTACCAGTCCCCCCCCCCCCCGGTAGACCCCCTCCGCCCACAGGGTCCTGCTCCCTCAGGTGTGTCTCAGGTAGACCCATCCCCCTTGGTTGAGCCTTTGGAGTTCTCTTCTGACTCCTCTGGCCCAGCTGAGGGGGGTGACCCTGCCGCTGACGACACGGCTGCCACTCGCCGCTCTCCACGCTTGGAGACCCCCCCTGGTTTTCCGCCTCGGCCGTCTTCGCCGCCTCCGCAGCCTGATGCTGTGGACTCTGGAGCTGAGACTGCTGGTGCTGAGCCTTGGGGTGCTGAGACAGAGGTTGAGGGTTCTGGGGGTGCTGGTTCTGGGGGTGCTACGACTGGGGGTGTTGTTTCTTGGGGTGCTGCGACTGGGGGTGCTGACTCTGGGGGTGCTGCGAGTCCTAGTGACCTCGTCGACGTAGGTGTCTGTGGACTTCCAGGAAGCCATCTCTGCGTCCATGGCTGTCTGCCACTGAGAGGAGTACTCACCCGCGATCACCTCAGCGTAAGAGCACGGGGTAGGGATGTCAAGTGCATCCGGGTCTCCCTCAGGGCAAAGCAGCATGGATGCAAAACGAGGTAAAGTGGCCGCAAGACACTCAAGCTCAAACTGACTGTCCTCAAGTACGTCACTGCCAAGGGCAAGCTCACCCCCGACGGACGGAGGACAGACAGACTCAGACTCAGTGACAAGACTCGCGACGTAGTCAAGACGACTCCTAGCTGCAAAGTCGACTAGCTCAGCGACTAGGGCAAACGCAGCAGTAGACTCAAAGTCAGGGTCAGTGACGACAGTAGCAAGGAGACCAGTGACAGTAGGACTGGCAGCACGAGCAAGTTCGGACTCAGGGTCAGGAACGTGCGGAAGAGAGGACGCGGGAGGCTCAGGCAGGACAACACGTTGTGGAATAGAGGAAGGACGATGTGTCATACCGTGAGTGCCTGGGACAGCATGAGGACGAGGACGGGCAACACGACGAGCACGAACAGGTGTGGAAGCAAAAGTCTCAGGCTCACGACGCTCAGTCAGGGACCCAATCACCTCATTGTGAGGAGTAGGAGCAGGCAGCGGGGAGCCAGGCAGAAGCTGTGGCTGAGACTGGTCTGTCGGTGGACACAGGAGAGGTGGAGTGAGGCCAGTGGAAGACGGGAGACTAAGAACCAGGTGAAGGACCGAGTCAGGCGGCGGCAGGGACGACTGCGGCTGTGGGTAGATTTACAGTCGGCGCGGGGCAATACCAGCAGCTCCAACTCCTCCAGCACCAGCAGCACCAACACCTCCAGCACCAGCAGCTCCAGTAGCACCTCCAGCAGCACCACGAGCTCCGACAGCGCCAGCACCTCTAGCACCAGCAGTACCTCCAGCACCTCCAGTGCTAGCAGCTCCAGTAGCACCTCCAGCACCTCCAGCTCCAGTAGCACCTCCAGCACCTCCAGCACCAACAGCACTACCTGCTCCGACAGCTCCAGCACCTCTAGTACGAGAACCTCCAGGACCAGCAGCACCAGCACCTCCAGTACCTCCAGTACCTCCAGCTCCAGCGCCTCCAGCACCAGCGGTACCTCCAGCACCTCCGCTGCCAGCAGCTCCAGTAGCACCTCCAGCACCAGCAGCACCACCTGCTCCGGCAGCTCCAGCACCTCTAGTACGAGCACCTCCAGTACCAGCGGCTCCAGCACCTCCAGTACCTGCAGCACCAGCACCTCCAGTGCCAGCAGCTCCAGTAGCACCTCCGGCACCACCAGCTCCGGCAGCTCCAGTACCTCTAGTACGAGCACCTCCAGGACCAACAGCTCCCACAGCTCCAGCACCAGTAGCACCAGCACCTCCAGTGCCAGCAGCTCCAGTACCCCTCGCACCTCCAGTACTAACAGCACCATCAGCTCCGGCAGCTCCAGCACCTCCAGTACGAGCACCTCCAGAACCAGCAGATCCAGCACCTCCAGTACATCCAGCTCCAGCGCCTCCAGCACCAGCAGCACCTCCAGCACCAGCTGTACCTCCAGGACTAGTAGGTCCAGCACCTTCAGCACCAGTAGCACCTCTAGGACTAGTAGCTCCGGCACCTCCAGCACCAGCAGCACCTCTAGTACCTCTAGCACCAGCAGCACCTCCAGCACCTCCAGCAGTACCTCCAGTACCTCCAGCACCAGCAGTACCTCCAGGACTAGCAGCTCCAGCACCAGCAGGACCGTACCCTCCACCACCCAGGACTGCCTCGCCGAACGATCCATGCACGAATCGCCTGCGGCGAGAGCATCTCAAGTAGATCAGGCAGCGGTGTCTGTCCAGCTCCAGGACCTCCAGCAGGGTCACCCACAGCTCCACCGCCACTAGGACTCGCAGCACCCCTAGAGTCAGCACCCCCAGTCGCAGCACCCCCAGAACCAGCATGCCCAGTCGTAGCACCCCTAGTTGCAGCACCCCCAGAACCCTCACCCTCTGTCTCAGCACCCCCAGGCTCAGCACCAGCAGTCTCAGCTCCAGAGTCCACAGCAGCAGGCTGCGGAGGTGGCGAAGATGGCCGAGGCGGAAAACCAGGGAGGGTCTCCAAGTGTGGAGAGCGGCGAGTGGCCGCCGTGTCGTCAGCGGCGGGGTCACCCCCCTCAGCTGAACCAGAGGAGTCATAAGAGATCTCCAAAGGCTCAACCAAGGGGGGTGAGTCTACCTGAGACACATCTGAGGGAGCAGGACCCTATGCGGGGAGGGGGTCTACCGGGGGGGGGACTGGTACCAAGAAAAGAGGCGCTAGGGGTACCGGGTGGGACGCGTGCGGGTGTAGCCTGTAGAAACAGACAGACTCGTATAAGGTGACGTCCTGGGAGGAGAAGAGTCGACGCTCGCGCGGGTGGTAGAACTGCCACGGCGGGGCGTCGGTGGGGAAGCCAAGGAAGACGCAGCGGAGAGTGCGAGAGGAGAGCTTGCTCGCTTTGGCATCGCGAACAAGGGAGAGCGCGCCCCAGACCCGAAACACCGACGCATCGCCAACCTTCCCCGTCCAACGCAGTGTGGGCGAGGTCTCTGGCTCAGAGACACGGGGCCAGAGGTTGAGCTGATGCGCGGCGTATCGGACCACAAACGGCCACAGAAAATGGGGAGCAGCCGCATGGATCATGGAGGTACGAGCAACCTCCATGATCAAGCCAATGCGTCGCTCAGCAATCCCATTTTGTTGAGGAGAGGCCGGAAGCGTGAACGACTGGCGGATGCCCTCGTCTCAACAGAACTCCGCAAGGAGGTCAGAAGAGAACTCACTGCCCCTGTCAGAGTGCAGACGCAGGACTGGGAAGTCCCGACGAAACCGCTCGCGCAGCTGGCAACGAGTAGCACAGATCCAGGGGATCAAAACACCGCTGATGTCCGCCTTGCGCCGCAAGGGGAAGACAGTGGTGTAGCGTGTGTAGTCGTCAACAACCAACAGGAAGTAGCACTCCTGGTCCGTCCCATTGACGGGGGCCGGGCCCCAAACGTCCATGTGTAGAGTCTGTAGAGGAGCAGTGGTCGGGGGAAACTCGGAGGAGTGAGGAGCGGCGCGCTGCCGCCCCTCGACGCAAGGAAGGCACGGCGGGGCAGGTGAGCACGGGAGGGAGGGCAGGGACCTGGGAAGGCCAGAGACAAGGAGACGGGAGTGCATGCTGCGGAGACGCAGCAGCGAGGGGTGACCTAGGTGGTGGTGCCAGAGGAGAGTCTGGTGAGAGAGTACCCGACACGAGCAAGAGGCTGCAAGCTGACCAGACGCAGACACCCGACTCGACGCAGCCACCTGACTTGACTCAGCCACCTGTGCAGACGCAGTGGATAGGGTGTATGTTACGATAAGAATGAATTGATAGAAAATGTGAAGTACAACCCTAGATATAGCAAACCCTAATCATGCAAGTAAGTAGAAATGTAACACCTAGACTAACCTAAACAACACATATAAAATATATGTTGACACACCCCCATAGTCTAGGTGACGGAAGTCCTGTAGAAACAACAAGAGCAAGCAACGGTCACAAGACCAGTCTACAAGAACAAGACAAATCTCAGGGTGGAGCTCAAAGTCACCACACACTCCGAGAGCAAGCAAGGGGCCACAAGGCCAGTCCACATGCAGGTATATAGCAAATATAAAGAGATGCAAGAGTACAAGACATGCAGGACAAGTCATCTCTAAGCAAGCAAGTGAGGACGGGCAGGCACAAGGCCAAGCTGGGTGCAGAAACGCTGGTGGTCACAAGGCGGCAACGCCTTGGTGAAGATATCTGCCGTGTTGGCCTCAGAGACCACACGTCGAACGAGTGCCTGTCCACGCTGCTGCAACTCACGCAGAAGGAAGTAACGAAGCTGGATGTGCTTCGCCTTCCCAACCAGTCGGGGCTCCTCACACAACAGGACAGCAGACCTGTTGTCGGCGAACAAGACTGGGGGAGAGCGAGGCCGCTCACCAAGGTCGGTGAGAAGGAAAGACAGCCAGCGAAGCTCCTGAGCGGCCATGGCCGCAGCGTACACCTCTGCCTCACAGCTGGAACCGGCAACGGACGACGCCCGAGTCGACCGCCACGAAACAGCACCTGCCCCGAGGCTAAAGGAGTACCCCTGTGTAGACCGACGCGTCTCCGCGTCGTCGGCCCACGACGAGTCCGAGTAACCTGTGAGTGTAATTGGCTGCTTCCCTCCAAGGACAAGTCCCATGCCTGATGTACTCGCCACATACTTCGCCACCCTCTTAGCAGCGTACCAGTGGGAAGGTTGGTGTCTCCCGGGCGCAACAAAGCGCGCAAGGACGCTAAGAGGGTAAGCTAGGTCTGGACGAGTACAGGTCATCAGGTACATGAGACAACCCACCAGCTCAGGATATGGACCACTGGACTCAAATGACTCGTCCGAAGGTGGAGCCGTGAGCCCATGATCCACACCAAGAGGGGTGAGCTGTACCTTGGAGAACGGGAAGCGAAACCGCGTGAGGATCTGCTCGACCATATGCGACTGAGTCAGCGTAATGGTGCGAGCTGCCCTGTCCCTGGTGATCTGCAGGCCAAGGTAGTGCTGCAGCTCACCAAGGTCAGTGCAAGTGTGTCTCCTTTGCAGTTCCTCCTTCACGGAGGCCAGCGCGCGTCGGTCGGGAGTGGCGAACACTAGGTCGTCGACGTAGACCAGGACAAAGAACGGGGTCGAGCCACGGCGAACGAACAGTGACGGGTCAGCAGACGACGGAAAGAAGTCAAGAGCTGCAAGGGTCGAGCGAAGTGTGTCGTGCCACTCACGTGGGGCCTGACGCAGGCCGTAGACTGGTCGACGCAGCTGCCACTGGGTCCCAGGTGGGAAAGAGCCAGTGAAGCCAGGCGGGCGACGCAGCCAGATCTGCTCGTGCAGGCTCCCCTGAAGGAACGCGGTGGAAAAGTCCAAGGAGTGCAACTCGTAGTCGCGCTGGGCTGCAATATGCAGCAACACCCGAAGAGTACTCATCTTCGGGGTGGGAGCGAAGGTCTGGAAGAAGTCCACCCCCTCTCGCTGACTGAAGCCTCTCGCAACATTGCGCGCCTTGAACACAGGTGGTGATCCAGGCGGCCGCTTCACCTTGTAGAGCCATCGGCCACTGACGACATTCGTCCCAGGTGGTGGGACTGCGTCGACGTAAGTGCCTGTGGACCTATAAGATGCCATCTCTGCCTCCTCAGCTGCTATCCAGTACGAAGCCCAGGGTCCCGAGACCGCCTCGGCGTGAGTGCGAGGGATCGGGATGTCAAGGGCGTCTGGATCCCCCTCAGGGGCAAGCAGCATGGCGCAGAGATGAGGAACAGCGGCCGCAAGGAAACAAAGCTCGAACTGCCTGTCCTCTACGACCTCCAGGGGAAAGACAGGAGCACCCCCAGAGGATGGAGAACGTGCAGGGCCACTCACCAAGTGAGCGGCGTAGTCAAGGCGGTGGGAAGAGGCAAAGCCAGAGACAGTGGTAACAAGTGCTGAGACAGACGACAGAGGTGCAGTCGGGTGAGTGACCAACGCGGACAAAACACGGGAGACGACAGGACGGGAGGCACGGAGGTAGTCGGACAACGGGTCGTGAAGCACAGTGAGGGACGACTCAGGGGGCTGTGGAAGGACAGGAGGAGGTGGAACACGAGAGCGGAGAACAAGGTGAAACGGACCGTCTGCACGGTAACGGGACCGACAGGGCTGTGGAGACACAGCACGACTGAGGGGAGGACGACGAGTCCACTGGGAGGAGGAAAGGGACTCAACTGGTGGAACAGGAGGGGACGGTAGGGGACCACGAACAAAGCGTGCAGGTGCTGGGTCGGGGAGGTCGCGTAGTCGCAGTCGCTGCTGCTCCGCCTCCTCTGGCGTCTGCTGCGACGGTACCGGCCCCTGCTGCTGCTCCTGTGGCTCCGCCTCTGCCCTCTCCTGCTGCGGCTGCAGCTGTACCCGCTGCTGCGACCGGGACTCCTGCGCTACCCTCTCCTGCTGCTGCCGTGACTCCTCCTCTACTCTCTCCTGCTGCGTCTGTAACTGCACCTGCTGCTGCGGGTGGGACTCCTGCTCTACCCTCTCCTGGTGCGGCCGTGACTGCTCCTCTACTCTCTCCTGCTGTGTCTGTAACTGCACCTGCTGCTGCGGGCGGGACTCCTGCTCTACCCTCTCCTGGTGCGGCCGTGACTCCTCCTCTACCCTCTCCTGCTGCGGCTGCAGCTGCACCCGCTGCTGCGACCGGGACTCCTGCGCTACCCTCTCGTGCTGCTGCTGTGACTCCTCCTCTACTCTCTCCTGCTGCTGCTGCTGCTGCTGCTGCTGCTGCTGCTGCTGCTGCTGCTGCTGCTGCTGCTGCTGCTGCTGCTGCTGCTGCTGCTGCTGCTGCTGCTGCTGCTGTGCCCTCTCAAATCGCTCATGCTCCTCCCTCTCCAACTGGAGGAGACGCTGCTCACGGGTCAGGAAACGTACAGTGCGCGGTGTAGGCGCCACAGTGCCAGTGCCTCCAGCTCCAGCACCCCCAGAACCAGCACCTCCACCACCGACACCCCCGGGGCCTCCAGTACCTCCCGCAGGAACACCCCCAGGCTCCGCAGCAACCGACCGCAGAGAAGAAGGAGGAGGAAACTGCGGGACGGACGGGAAGCCAGGGGGTGAGGCAGGGCGAGGCCGCCGAGTCGAGGCTGCCGTGTCCTCCACAGGAGTGACCTCCACGCCCACAACCCCTGCACCCCCAGAGCCGACACCACCAGCTCCTGCAGCCCCAGTACCCTCACCCTCCGCAACTGCACCTCCCGCACCCCCAGACACGACAGGGACTTGACGCTGCGGGGGGGAAGACTGCGGAGTGACGTGCGACACACCTGACGGGGCAGGACGCGAAGGGGGGGGGGCTACCGGGGCGACTGGTGGGGGCTCAAGGGTGAGGAACAGCGGGGGGGAAAAGGCCTCAGTACCTCGGTGGGGGCGACTCCTGTAGTAACAGACAGACTCGTCGAACGTGACGTCCTGCGAAGCGAAGAACTGGTAGGTGACCGGGTCGTAGAACACCCAGCCGGAGGCGTCCAAAGGGAAGCCAAGAAAGACGCAGGCACGAGTGCGCGGAGACAACTTGTTCGCGCCAGGGGCGCGAACGTGAGCCAGACAACCCCAGACGCGGAAGTCAGCTGCTACGCCCGGAGAACCTGTCCAAAGGGAGACCGGCGTCACCCTTGGCCGTGCGTCACTGGGCCACAGGTTCAGCTGGTGCGCGGCGTAGCGGACTGCCTGGGGCCACAAGAACTGGGGGGCACCGGCATGGCACATGGAGGTCCGGGCAACCTCCATGACCAGGCCGATGCGTCGCTCGGCTACCCCGTTCTGCTGCGGTGATGCTGGTAGCGTGTAAGACTGGATGATCCCCCGACCCTGACAGAACGTCTCCAGGCGAGTGGAAGAAAACTCACCACCACGGTCCGAGTGTAGGCGAAGCCCACACAGGCCCTGGGCGCCACCCCACGCTAGTAGCCACGGCTCGAGGACGGTAGGCACGTCGGCCTTCCGTCGCAAGGGGAAAACCGTGGTGTAGCGGGAGTAGTCGTCCACCACAATCAGGAAGTAGCGCTCCTGACGTGGGCCAAGGACCGGAGAGGGGCCCCAGACGTCCAAGTGCAGGGTCTCGAAGGGAGCCGTGGTGGGGGGGAA